TCCCACTGGGATCCATTCCCTGGCTCCTGTCATTCCAGGCCCTGATCGCCAGTCCCTCTCCCGCTCTCCTGGAGCCACTTCATGGCTCTGGAATGTTCTCCAAGCTCTCCCGGGATCCTTCCCTTCTCCAGCCTGGCCATTCCCAGCTCTCCCAGCCTGGATCCATCCCCTGCCATTGGATCCATCCCCAGCCCAACTCCTCCCTGGGAAGGAGTTCAGGGAACAAGGGGGTTCCCTGGGAATCTCAGCACGCAGGGCAGGGTCTCCCTTCCCCTTTCCTGCCTTCTCCATCCCCACATTCCATAAAAACCCCTCTGAATGGATCCTTTATCGTGGAATCCTGGAATGATTTGGATGGGAAGGGATTTTAAGGATCATCCCATTCCATGTTCTGGGTCACCTTCCACTATCCCAGGCTGCTCCAGCCTGGCCTTGAACGCTCCCAGGGATCCAGGGGCAGCCACAACTTCTCTGGGAATTCCAGTCCAGCCCCTCCCCACCCTCCCAGCCAGGAATCCCTTCCCAAATCCCACCCAAATCTCCCCTTTCCCACTGGGATCCATTCCCTGTGTCCTGTCCCTCCAGCCCTTGTCCCCAGTCCCTCTCCACCTCTCCTGGAGCCCCTTTAGCCTCTGGAAGGGGTTCCAAGACCCCAAACCAACCATTCCCATTCCGAAACTGAACTTTGGGAATTTTCCCCTCATTTCTGCAGATCTGAACCCCAAACTTTGACTCATTGCCAAAAAAACCCCCACCCTCCAACAGATCTCCCGGCTCTTCTTCCCAGTTGCTTCCACGAGTTGGAGCTGGGAATGTCCTAAAGAGCACCCTGGGAATTCTGGGCTGGACTCTGCTACCACATTCCCTAAGGTGGATTTTAGGAGAGCTAATTAAGCCACTTGGCTTAATTAAGAGGCAAAGTCTTCCTCAAGCCTCGTGGGACATTCCTGAGAAGACCGGGACGAGGACATGGATACAGGTGGTGACGTCACAGCGGGAGAAGGCCACGCCCACCCCACCACCCCTGCTCCAGGCGATTCCCGGGTGGAATTTGCCAGCTGGAATCTCTTTACCTGTTATTCCCCATGGCTCCTTGCTGCCAGCCCTTCACGTCGGGGGATTGGTATCCGGGTGCCGGCGGCGCCGGCGGCAGCATCGGGCTCTGGGCCGGCGGGATTTGGGGGGACACCAGGGGGCTGCCGGGGCTCAGTGCCGGCGCGAAGGACTCGCTCTGCTGGGCCAGCCCTGCGGGCACAACCAGGGCTCAGGAGGGAGCCTAATTCCCTACTCCCACAGCTCCCGCTTCCCAACGGAGCCCAATTCCCGCTTGCCAACAGCCCCCGATTCCCAGGATTTGGCACACGCGGGTTTGGTGGCTCTGGGGGGTCTTCGTGACCTCAAAGGTTGTCTTGGTCCAACTCCGACACCTCCCGCTGTCCCACGGGGCTCCAACCCGGCCTTGGACACTCCCAGGGATCCAGGGGCAGCCACAGCTTCTCTGGGAATTCCAGACCAGCCCCTCAACACCCTCCCAGCCAGGAATCCCTTCCCAATCTCCCCCCCAAATCTCCCCTTTCCCACTGGGATCCATTCCCTGGGTCCTGTCATTCCAGGCCCTGATCCCAAATCCCTCTCCTGCTCTCCTGGAGCCCCTTCAGGCTCTGGAATGTTCTCCAAGCTCTCCCGGGATCCTTCCCTTCTCCAGCCTGGCCATTCCCAGCTCTCCCAACCTGGATCCATCCCCTGCCATTGGATCCATCCCCAGCCCAACTCCTCCCTGGGAAGGAGTTCCGGGAACAAGGGGGCTCCCTGGGAATCTCGGCACTTAGGGGAAGGTCTCCCTTCCCCTTTCCCGCCTTTTCCATCCCCACATTCCATAAAAATCCCTCTGAATGGATCCTTTATCAAAGAATCCTGGAATGGGTTGGATGGGAAGGGACCTTAAGGATCATCCCATTCCATGTTCAGGGACACCTCCCACTATCCCAGGATGCTCCAAGGGAATCCAACTCAGCCTTGGACACTTCCAAGGATGGGAAACCTTCCTCCAGGGAAGAGGAGGAACGAACAGCCTCCAAGTTCAATTCTCAAGAAAAAATTCGTGGAATTGTTTTCCTGAAGTCCCCTCATGTTTTTTTGGAGACTCAACCCCCAAACTCCTTGGGCTGTTTGGAGCAGGTAGATCCCAGCTCCGTGGGCTTTTGGAATGTTGGGAGATCTCAACTCCTTGGGCTGTTGGGCTGTTGGGAGATCCAAACTCCTTGGGCTTGTTGGGATTTTGGGAGAGCCTAACTCCTTGAGCTTGTTGGGATTTTGGGAGATCACAACTCCTTGGGCCTTTGGGATGTTGGGAGATCGGAGTTGGGAGATCCCAACTCCTTGGGCTGCTGGGAGATCCCAACTCCTTGGGCTTGTTGGGATTTTGGGAGATCCCAGCTCCTTGGGCTGTTGGGAGTTGAGATCCCAACTCCTTGGTCTGCTGGAAGATCCCAACTCCTTGGACTTGTTGGGATTTTGGGAGACCCCAAATTCCTTGGGCTGTTGGGAGTCGAGAGATCCCAACTCCTTGGTCTCCTGGAAGATCCCAACTCCTTGGGATGTTGGGAGTTGGGAGATTCCAACTCCTTGGGTTTGCTGGGATTTTGGGAGATCCCAACTTCTTGGGCTGTTGGGAGTTGGGAGATCCAAACTCCTTGTTGGTCTCCTGGGAGATCCCAACTCCTTGGGTTTGTTGGGATTTGGGGAGATCACAACTCTTTGAGCTGTTGGGAGATCTAAACTTCTTGGGATGTCGGGAGTTGGGAGATCCCAACTCCTTGAGCTTGTTGGGATTTTGGGAGATCACAACTCCTTGGGCTGTTGGGATTTTGGGAGATCACAACTCCTTGGGCTGTTGGGATGCTGGGAGATCCCAACTCCTTGGGATGTTGGGAGTTGGGAGATCCCAACTCCTTGGTCTCCTGGGAGATCCCAACTCCTTGGTCTCCTGGGAGATCCCAACTCCTTGGGCTTGTTGGGATTTTGGGAGATCCCAACTTCTTGGGCTGTTGGGAGTTGGGAGATCCCAACTCCTTGGTCTCCTGGGAGATCCCAACTCCTTGGGCTGTTGGAAGCTCCCAACTCTTTGGACTGCTGGGAGCTTGCAACTCCTTGGGCTTGTTGGGATTTTGGGAGATCCCAACTCCTTGGGCTGTTGGGAGTTGGGATCTCCCAACTCCATGGACTGTGGCAACCCAAGCTGTGCCAGCCGGCTCAGGATGAATCCGGAGCAACGCTCCGATGCCTCCGGTCTCCACATCCCCGGGGAACATCCCCTCCCATCCCAACATCATCCCAGCTCCACCCACCTGCTCCGGAATACTGAAAGACGTTCTGCTGCATCCCGGGTGCCACCATCCCGGCTCCGAACTGCGCTCCCACGGCGCTCCCGCGGCGTCCGGCCAGTGCCGCCGCCGCCTCAGCACCGGAGAACGGTCCAGCGGCGCCGGCGGAGGGCGGGTTGCCGGCGCCAGCGCCGTAGCTGGGCACCGGATACGGGAACTGCTGGGGGGGGGCCTGTGGCAACCGGGTGGCTCCGAGGGGCACCGGAATTCCGGAGGCGTTGCCGAAGCTCTGCTGGCGCAGGAGGAGGGCGCGCTGCTGCATCAGCTGCCGCTGCCGGTGCTGTTGGCTGTAGAGCTCCCGCTGCCGCTGCGCCAACATCTGAGCGTTCAGAGGAGGCTGAGGGATGGAAGGATATTCCCAGGTTAGCGTTGGAATGTGGGAATCACTCCTGGTCTCATTACGTGTCTCGGGATTGGAGGGAAAGGTGGAAATGCCCCCAAATGGTGGGAATGGGGAAGAGCGTCTGGAGATGTTCAAGATGAGTTGGAGCATCACCCAAGGTGGGAAAACAGGATCTCAGTCACTTGGAAGTCACTGAGGGAAGGAGGGAGATTCCCAAATTATCACTGGCACTACATATTGCTCCCGGTTCTGTTACCCAGCTCGAGATTGGAGGGAAAGGGGGAAATGCCCCCAAATGGTGGGAATTGGGAAGAGCACCTGGAGATGTTTAAGATGAGGAGCTCCAAGAGTTGGAGCGTGTCCCAGGGTGGAAAAACAGGATCTCGGTCACTAAGGGAAGGAGGGAGATTCCCAAATTACCACTGGCACCCGGAACGTTCCCAGTCCCATTACACGGCTCAGGATTGGAGGGAAAGGTGGAAATGTCCCAAAATGGTGGGAATTGGGAAGAGTGTCTGGAGACGTTCAAGATGAGGAGCTCCAGGAGTTGGAGCGTGTCCCAAGGTGGGGTAACAGTATCTCATTCACCTGGAAGTCACCGAGGGAAGGAGGGAG